TATGCTAACAGGGTATCCTACTTGCTGTGCTGTGATTAGACCACTACCCCTATATAAGCTTGTGCCTTCTTGCAATAAACCAGACCTGTGTCACTGAACTTGGTCTCCTGTGTCTGAATGTGGCTCCACTGACACAGTCTCCTCACCAGCCCTGGGCTCCGGGACCGGGCAGAAGCAGCGATGACAGGAGGCAGCACAGGGCAAGCAAAAGAGCTGCCTCAGCAGAAGAACAGCCTCAGCCCAGGGTGAGCGGAGGAGCAGCCTCGACACCATGAAAACAAAAAAGCGGCACCCACGAGAACGGAGGAACGGCTGCTGCTGGCGGTGACCACACATCCCCAATCCTAGGAAGATTTTATGTTTGTATCTGGAGGGTTTTTTTTTTTTTTTAAAGAAGTTAGTTTCTTCAGGGAAGAATCTTCTTTTCTTCCAAGAGCAGAGTCAGGGAAGAGGCAGAACCCCAATTTTTACTCCCAAGATCCAAGATTTACCCTTTCCACCAATGTGCTCCAGTATCCAGAGTCCAGGGACGAACTCTTCAGTCCAAGTCCCAGAAGGGTGGAGGCCCTGGATATTTGTAAGATGAATTGTGGTGGAAATCTGGTGGAAGCTGCTTCCTGTCAGTGTTGAAGTTGGAGTTGCTGCTGTCTCAGCTTGTCAACCAGCTCTTTCAACTACTTCTCACCTTCAAAAATTACACCATGGGGCTGGAGAGATGGCTCAGTGGTTAAGGTGGGTATTGCTCTTGCAGAGGACCTAAGTTCAGTTCCCTGTACCTATGTCAGGTGGCCCACAGCTGCCTGTAATTCCAACTCAAGGAGATCTGATGCCCTCTTCTGGACTCCCTGAGCATTGCACTCATGCCCTGGGGCATGACAAGCAAGCTAGGCTGGCAGAGCTGAGTTTATAAAAGAACACCATCATATTCTGCTTTTTTTTTTTAAAAAAAAAAGATGCATTCTGGGAATCAAACTCGGTCCTGATGCTTAATTTGCTAGCACTTTGTTTACTCTCTCAGCCTGTAAAGGGAGCTTTTCAAAATGCAAGTCTTACACCTTTAATCCCAGCACCCAGGAGGCAGAGATCTGTGAGATCAAGGCCAACCTGGTCTACATAGTGAGTTCTAGGCAGATTGAGACCAGGGAGACCCTGTCAAAAAAAAACTGCAACTCTGTCTCTGTCCCTCCCTGTACCCTCCATCTGATGGGTCCCTGTGCCCCTCAGTCCCTCCCTGTACTCTCCATCTGATGGGCCCCTGTGCCCCTCAGCCCCTCCTTGTACACTCCATCTGATGGGCCCCTGTGCCCCTCCGTCCCTCCGTGTACCCTCCATCAGATGGGCCCCTGAGCCCCTCAGTCCCTCCCTGTACCCTCCATCAGATGGGCCCCTGTGCCCCTCAGCCCCTCCCTGTACACTCCATCTGATGGGCCCCTGTGCCCCTCAGTCCCTCCGTGTACCCTCCATCTGATGGGCCCCTGTGCCCTCAGTCCCCTCCCTGTACACTCCATCTGATGCGCCCCTGTGCCCTCAGTCCCCTCCCTGTACCCTCCATCTGATGGGCCCCTGTGCCCTCAGTCCCCTCCCTGTACCCTCCATCTGATGGGCCCCTGTGCCCCACAGGATTAAGTACACAGTCTTGTAGGGCAGTGAACATTGCTTGCTGCAGTCTCTAGTTGCATCTCCCATCATTTCTCTTGCTATTTGGTTTGGTGCCTCACCTTATCTAACACAGTCCTCCACTGTCCCCACCACTGTTTTCCTGTAGGCACAACAGCCCACATTATTCAGACTTCTCTCTCTGGTCTCTAGAATACTCCACTCCTCCTTACTCTCTCAACTTGCTTTCACCTTGAGAATTAATGCCCAGGATCACATTCCTAAGACCTTTCCTGTCCAACCATCTCAGTCAGTAGACTGGACTCTTCTCCTTTGCTTCCTTAACATATCATCCTGGCAGGAATGAAGATGTTGTTCTGAAGAGGCACTGTATCGGGGCTGGAGAGATGGCTCAGCAATTAAGAGCACTCGCTGCTCTTGCAGAGGACCTGGGTTCAAATCCCAGCATCCATATGGTGGCTAACAACCATCTATAACTCCAGTTCCAGGGGGTCCAATGCTCTCCATGGACATTGCATGACATGGGTGTACTTGCATACATGCAGGCAATACACTCATGCACATAAAATAAAAAAAATAAAATGTATTTTTTAAGAGATGCACTGTGTCCCTCCCTTCTGCTATCAGACTGAAACAATGGACCCCAAAGAACTGGAATTTCCCCAGGAATCTCATGCTGGGAGAAGGAAAAAGCAAAGCCTGACACCAGACAGAGCTTGTCTTCTGGAAAGAGAATTTACACAGTGCTGGCGACTTGTCCTCCTGTTCTCTATTTAAACGTAAACCTCACACTGGCTCCCCAAAGATGGACTTGCATCACTGCAACTCTTTGTTCCCCTTCCCAGCGCAGCCCTGTTGAACACATTTCCTTTCCCTGCTTTATTACCTGTCTCCTTAATTGGCCTGTTGAGCACACGTGGCTGAGCCCAGCTTGTTAGGACTGCCAGGGCCCAGGCTCCGACCCTAACAACCATGACCTGGACAGTGTATTCAGACACTAGTAATAAACTGTGGCCTGTTTGTTTGTTTGTTTGTTTGTTTTGCTGTGCTGTGCTGGGGATGGAGCCCAGAACCTACTGCATACTAGTCAAGCCCTTTGCCTCTAAGCTACATCCTCTTGCTTTCTCTATGCCCATTTTCCCTGCAACGTGAAACTCTCCTTCAATTTAGAGACCAAGTCTTTTATATCTCCACTACCTGACACATACTGGGACTGAACAATAGTATGGACCTTTTTGTTTATGTACAAATGAGTGGGTTGATTCTCCCATATTGTATATTCTTCTAAGAGTTACTGGGCTAAACTGGGATTACATACCTTTAATCCCAGCGGTCAGGAGGCAGAAGCAGGCAGATCTCTGTGAGACTGAGGTCAGCCTGGTCTATATAGTGAATTTTAGGCCATCTGGGGCAACAGGGAAACTCTGTCTCAAAGGAAAAAAAAAAAAGTTACTGGGATTTCCAGAATTTACATTAGGGAATTCAGATATCAGCAACATTCTCCAGACAACTTGGCCTCTGCCCACATTGCTCAATAAAATTACATGTGTCTCGCAGTCAAGACCACAATTTCCACATGCAGAAGTCTCTGCCTGCCTTGATACACTTTTGGGTGAGTACTACCTGCTTGTAATTCATAAGTAGACCTTGAGCTGGTTGGGAGTTGGGGATGGGATGCAAGAGACAAAAGAAACATCCCAGCTACATACAGAACACCTGAAACACAAGAGATAGGAAAGATTCTAGTGGGAGATGTTTATGGGAGAGCCATTAAAGTCAGTTAATAAGACTTTACTCCATGTCTCTAGAGATGCCCATACATGCCTACAGAAACCCTTCCTGAGCTGCATGACCCCGATCAAGGTCTTGTTTCAATGTGTGATTTGTTACAGTAAAAATAAGGAAGGAGTTTGGAAGCAGTTAAGGTCACTTTGTGCAGAGACCATGGCACTACATCATGTTAAATAAAATGTCAGTCAGTAGTTACTGTCATTTTCTTCAAAGGATTTTATGTACCATAGGTAATTCTATAATATATTTGGGTATGATTTCAGTTTGATTCCATTCTCAATTTTTAAGAATTTAGTAGGACTGCTGGGCATGGTGGTGCATGCCTTTAGTCCCAGCACTCGGGAGGCAGAGGCAGGTGGATCTCCATGAGTTCAAGGCCAGCTTGGTCTACATAGTGAGTTCCAAGTCAGACTACAGAGAGACCCTGTCTCAAAAAGACCAAAAAAAAAAAAAAGAATTTAGTAGGAATATATAAACAGGGGTTGGAAAGATAGCTCAGTGGACCCAAGCCCAGTTCAGTTCCCAGCATCCATGTTGGGTGGCTCATAGGTGCCTAGAACTCCAGCTTCAGGGAATCTGATACCCTTTTCTGACCTCTGTGGGCACTGCTCATACATGCATATAACACACATAGACACACACATATGCACAATAAAAAAAATACAAACACGTGTCCCAAGTTCTTGGTGCACACATTTATTTAATCACAGTACTAGGGTGGCAGAGGCAGGCAGATCTCTGAGAGCGAGACCAGCTTGGTTTGCATAGCATGTTCCAGGCCAGCTAGGGCTACAGGGAGACCCTGTTGCAAAAAACAAAGGAACATATAAATAGATCTGTATTTATGTGTGTATGTGTATTCATGTGGGTGCAGGTGCACGTAAGCAGGTATGTGAATGTCTGTAGAGGCCAGAAGTTAACCTTGGGTGTCATTCCTTAGAACTGTCAGTCTTTTGTTGTTTGTCTCTTATTCACCTGGGACTCACTGTGTAGGCTAGGCGGGTTGGCCAGCATGTCTCAGGGATCCACCTGTCTCTGTCTCCTGAGGGATGGGATTACACACATGCCCCACCACGCCCAGCTTTTTCAGTGGGTCCAGGGATAGAAGTCAGGTCCTTCTGCTTGCATGGGGAGCCTATGCTGGCTGAGTCATCACTATCACCCTGTATTTCCTGTCTGAGGATACCTGAGAGGATGATGAGAATGAGTGGTGTTTGGTGAGCACTGTGTGGGGTCTTTTGTCTCTGTCCTCATCAGATCTCCTCCACGACCCTGGAGCACAGGTGTCACACCCTTACTTAAAAGGAAAAACATGAAGCTCAAGCAGATTAAGCCGCCTGAAGTCTCTTACAGCCCACATCACAGTATGAGTTCACATGCTAGGGTTTTTATATTTTGATATATATATATATGTATATATATATATATTCAAATTTAAATTCATTCACATGAAATTATGAGTTGAGTTCTTTAGAAAATTGT